ACTCCTCCCTTGATAATGAAGTAGCCAAAATAATGGAGATTTCACCTATAAATGTCACTCATTTTATATTTCGGAGGAGTTGCAGGAAAGATCCTTGTCTGCAGCATGCCCAGAATAAATAATTACCGAGTGAATGAATGAAATGTTGGGCTGAGCCGGTTCTTTCTATAGTCACAAGGCAGTGGATCAAACCATGTATTTTCAGCATTGCTCACAGTGAGTAGATTGCTATTGGAGATCCATGATGGATACTTGTAAAACATGATTTCTTTCCATAACAGTGACACCTTCATTTTTTAACCTGAAAAAACCCTTGAAAAGTGACTCCCCTTTAATATTCCAATGTGTACTTCTTAAAGACAAAGGACACTTGTATCTAATCACAGTACAATCCCAACATCAGGAAGGTAAGTCTGGATCCAATGGAATCCAACTAATCTGCAGATTCCATGGCATGTTACTCATCAGGCCTTAAAGCCAGACCATCATTCACGCCATCTTGGATGGAATTCAAGAGCACTGGTGGCATTTAGTTTCCCTATCTCTTTCACCACCGTCCCTGAGGAGTCACGTTGTTATTTGTCATCGTCGTCCCTTTCATCCCCTCCAGTGTGGAAGAGTCCTTATTTTTGTGGACTTGTTAGTTGGTCAACAAGACAGGTCAGTTCCTTTGAATTTCCCTCAGTCCGGGTTTGCTTGGTGCTTTCTCCGGACATATATTTACACACAATGCATCAGAGCAGGAGTCTGGTTGGTCCCATTACTGGCTCTTTATTTATGGGAACTTTTTCCCATTGGTTTAGATGCTGTCTCCCAGGTATTACAGCTGTTACGTTAATTAGTAAGTATGCTGTGCTTATTAATTTGTAGGTGGCTAATCAATAGTTTTAGGGATGCATTTTGAGACACTACCAATGTCCTCATCACGCTAATCTTTTACTCACTAATTTTAGCATCCATTGATGGTTCTGGCCTGCATCAGTTATGGCAGTGGTGGCTGCTACATGGTGATTTTCTACTTCGGTCTTTTCCATCTTCCTGGATCAATGGCATTCTAGTTTGAAACGGAGATGTGCTTTCTATTCTCTTTTTGTCAGCATGGATTTGTGGGTTCGTTTTT